CCCAGCTCTAGCTCTGTCTGGCTGTCTGAGCAGAGCACTAAGCTAAACATGTTTGAACTAATCGATAACATTTACAAAAAATCGATTTAAATCGATATGACTTATATAAGACTTGACTTATATTAGACTTGGCATATCAGATTTTATATAAAGTCTCATAAAGTATGCACAGAGAACGAGTTATTCACACTTTGAATACCCACTCTCACTTATGTTTAATATAAATCAGATTTGTTTCGTCTATAAAAAATGTATAAATTTATTAAATCAATGCTAATCTAGAGTAAAATTAGTATTTACTTAAGCAGAATCACAGCAGCTCTATATACAGCCATTTCTCCATAGTCAAATAGTTAGTCGTATGTAAATAGATCGAGTCGATTATTTATGCAGATCAGCAATAATTACAGCGCTTAAGGCATTTGAAATCAGGCTAAAAAGCTTAAAATAAAATCTTCAATCATCTTAAAGATTGCTTTCTTCAAAAGTCTTTTCACTTCATTCAGTCCTGCCGTTGATTCATTAAATATTTATTAAACAAATTATGGACCACACATCGAACTGAGTCTGAGTTTCAGTTCATACTAAGAAGAATTGAAAATGGAACTCCATAAACGAAAACAATGGAAATCCATCTACAAAGTAAAGGGGTTATTCAACTTCTTCTTCTTGAAGAAGAACTGAGCTCTAGACATTTCGTGAATTGATAAAGACGATACTAATTTATGACAGTTTAAATTTCCGGGCAACTACTGTGAGAAGCGAGCGGGAAAGTCAAATGTAATTGTAGGAGGCGCATCGAGGCGTTTAGAGAGAGAGAAAGAGCAAGATCGCTCTGAGCTGCACACATATGTAGTCTCATCTGGCTCTGGTCTCTGTCTCGTTCTGCTTGCCGGCCATGTCAAGTGGGTGAGGTAGCGGCAGCATCATCATGCTCATCATTGACGCTGCATCTCAAGTGCATCAGCATCATCAACCTCATCGACGAGACTATCGGAAAATCACGTAATGGGCACGTAGGCCAAATATTTACTTAAGACCAAAGCGGGCAACGCTGCGTGAAGGCAAATACGAGGCGAGGGCGCGGGAGTTGTTGGGTCTAAGGGTGAGGCAGTGGCAAGAGCGAGCTGTATTAATGTTGTGGTGGCAAACCAATTGACTTGACAAGCGACGAGCAGCAGCAGCAGCAGCAGCAGGAGTGGGAGGAGCAGCGAAAGCGAGAGCCAAAGGCAATGGGGCGACAACTTCCTGCTGCAATTGTTTGACTTAATTGCCGCTGCAACTGCAACTGCAACTGCAACTGCTTCGACTGTAAACAGTAGTCGACATTGACTTTGACTTTCGGCAGCCACACACACACACACTTAAGCAAACACAGAGGGACTCAGGCTTGTGGCTTCACTTTTGGTCGCCTGTAGATTTTCGTTTGATTTTTGTTGCAATGCACCCCGCGGAGTTTGTTGTCGTTGCTATGGAGCTGCAACTGGATGGCAGCAGCAGCAGCAGCAGCAGCATCACAGACACCGACCTCAGTTGCAGTTGCCACGAACAAACATTGAATGCTGTGGAGGCTCAAAGGTAGAAGAAAAACCCACATGACTAATTACGCATTACAACTAAAGCATATTTGGCTACACTCGAAGAAATTCATTGCTTAAAGTGCATAAAAATAAGTTAGTGAAATGATGCCTATGATTTAGCTGCAACTATGAGGCAGCTATAGAGTACTTAATTGACAAGGAAGTTCCCTTTCTCATGTCTAAAGTCTCCAGCATTGGCCTTATATTTATTATACCTGTGCATAGTTAATGACAGATGTCAGAGAACTTTCCCAAAAGCTAATCTTAAAGTTTGAAATGCAATTGAAATTCTGCCCAATTCACAGCTTAGCTTAAGGAGAATAACAGATTTGAATCTTAGAACTGTGCAAAGCATTGAATAAGTTCAACGATCTGGCATATGGCATATGAATCAAGTATCTGAAGAGTATCCCATTTTCAGCTTTACGAGCTGTGAAAAATATGGAATATTAGCTGAAAGTCTTCACTGTATGATGAGCATATGAATGAAGTATGTAAACAGGAGCTAATTGCATATAGAAATGGACTTGAATCAATAATTTCCATAAAAATGTATTGCGTATTTTTTAGAGTTACACAAGTTTAGCTCATAATAAATTAAAGAAATATATTTTTAATATCAATGAACTGCACTTTACTTAATAGCATATTTTATGACATTAAAGATACGTAATCTGAAATACTAATTTTCATAATTATCATGGTCATGATTAGCCCTTCATCAGGTGAGATATACTTTTCACTCACTTTCTTTCTGTCTCTGTCTCTGTCTCTCTCTCTCTCTCTCTCTCTCTCTCTGTTTTCTTCATTGCATTTCTCACTCTCGCACTCTCTCACTCTCTCTCTTTCTCTTCCTCTTTCTTTCTTTCTTTCTCATTCCCTCGATATCTCTCTCTCTCACTCCCTCCCACTCCCTCTCTTTCTCTCTTTCAATTTGCATGCAAAATAAAATTTTGATTGAATTTCCTCAACTCGAAACCTTTTCATGTTTTACCTTACTTAAAGTTTCTATGGCTTACTTAGGCACAAAATTGTTTTTGGGCCATGAGAATCGCATGGAGAGGCGTGCGTCATATTACTTTTAATGGAACTGGCACATCAAATTTACAGTTAGCTGCACTTTTTTGCTTTTGATTTTTCAAATAGCTTCAAATGCCGACCACGCCCCCAAGAAAGAAATAGTTGATTTCACTTAAGTTGCAGCTGCGGCCGCCGCGCTGGCTTTGGCCGCGAATATCAAGAAGCATAATCATCAGTCAGTCAAGTGGCAGAGCCACGCCCACTGCCAAAATGCCCGCAGCTGGGGTGGCAAGTTGCAGCGGCCACATCGAAGCTGGCGTCATAATTAGACGTTTTGGCAACGACTGCTCCCGTTGCAAGTGGCATGTGGCATGTGGCAAGTGGCACGTTAGAGTGCGAGCCGGAGCCTGCCAAAGGCGAGCCATTTCCACCAGATCGCAAAAAACAGCTGATAAAGCCGCTGCGAGTGAGACTGAAACTGAAAGCTTCGGCTTAGCCCGGCCTGAGATGAAATTAAAATTCCATTGCGAACCCAGCTCAAAAAGTCAGTGGCACAGGTCAAATGGGCATCATATTTGGACCGGAGGATGCTGATGTGCTCTGACAGTAGCTGGCTCCATCGGGTTTACCGCTAACTGCTTTTCCCAGCCAACACACACACAAGGCCAAGGCATATAAATATTTATAAACAAAAGGCCAAGACAAAGCGGAACGCGGGCAGCTACAAATCCGTTATAAATAAAACATAACGAGTCGAATTGTTGGGAACCACTTGAAACGCAACTGAAACCGAGAAATAAGCACACAAAATGTCAAAAACAATAAATCAAAAGGCAACCAAAAAAAAAGTAAAAAAGGGCGGCCAAGAGAGTGGGAGAAGGAGAGAGAGTGTGGAGCGTGGGCGAGGGGATGGGTGTTGCGGGTGCCAGTCAGCGAAACGGAAGCATCTCGACGGCCGACGCAGCTTGGGCACGTTCCCAGCTTTTGGGTCTGCGCCCCAAAGGTAACAAGCGATAAATAAATGCGTGCGAGGCGGTGGGGGGCTCGGAGGAGGTAGTAGGGAGGGGGGAGGGGCAGGTAGTGACTCCGTAATGCGGCCTTACAAATTGCAGATGACACTACAGAGACAAAGAGCAACAAAAAAGGCAGCCAGTGTGCCTGTGTGTGTGTGTGTGTGTGTGTGTGTGGGTCAGGGAGCTGGCAGACGAGGTCCAAGTGGAGCATGCCTTTTGGCTTGCTGGCGGCATTAACGAAGGCGCACAAAAATTGTTGCTGTTGCTGCTGCGCAGGCGTCGCGGCGTCGCGGCGTCTGCGTCTGACGCGGCATATTTGTCGGCGTTTTGCATTGTGAATGAAATGGATTGAATTGAATTCATGACAGCGGAAGTTTTGAAAGCGTTGCGCGAATTGAGGTTAAGGCGAAGACGAGCGCATAAGTCGACTAACAATACACACATGCAACCACGCACACCTATGTAAATGCATTCACATATTAGCAAAAGATTTCACGTTTCCTGTGTCACAGTCACAGTCAACTAATTCAAATTGCTTGGGCTTCAATTTTAGGCAAGTTGCCAAGCAGCAACAGCAACAAAAAATGTTTGCAACAAATGTTGCTGGCAGCATGTGCTTAGACAGCAAATGTTGCTAAGCATCAGCAGCATCCACAAAACCTACATCCACATTGCGCACAGTGGTTGAACAGACGCCAGCATCAGAACAATTTGTTACGACAGACTATGCTTTGTTATCTTTTTATACAAATTCTTAATGAAAATATGTTCATTGTCAATAAAACTATTAAATTATGAATAAGGAAATACTTAAAAGAAAATATTATGTAAAGTTTATATATAAACATTGATATGTGTATATATATATATATAATATATAATATATATAAAAAAAATATATATATAACTGCCTCATTTAAAATTAAAAATTAACGTTTGTTATATGACAATTTTGAATATCTCTGAAGACCATATATTTTTGTCTTCATATATTCTGATATTTTTATAATAAAATTCGAATTTTTTAAATAGTAAAGTGAATTATATGTACACATAAATTTATATAACATATTTTATAACATATTTAATAAATGTTCTTACTAAATTTATGAATATTTAGATTTTCATTAAGATTTCGCAGTTTGCTGACCCACTGTGCAGCACATTAAAGCAAAGCCAACACTAAACTAAGCCAGAGAGAGCGAGTGCGAGCGAGAGGGTGACAAAGAGAGCGCGCGTGTTGCGGCCCACAGCGAACAAAGCAAAGCGAACAGCAACATCAACAGCAGCAACAGCAACAGCAACAGCAACAGCAGCCGGCAACCGACCGGCCCGAGATGCTGCGGACGTTCAGTAACGGACAAACGTTTGCCAGGTGAACAACGAAGCCGACGCAAGGCGAACAGAGCGAACGAGTTCGAATCGTGTTTCTTGTCTGTGTATTTGTCGTTGTTGTTGTTGGCACAGGCAGTGCTCGTGCCTTGGCGCTCAGCCCACGCGCGTATGTGTGTCGTATAAATTTTGTTAGCATTTTTTTTTTTGGTTTCGCTGTTGGTGTAGCAACATTTTGCGGCCAGCAGCCGCAGCAGCCTCCGCAACATGCAGTGGTGAAATTGGCCGAGACCGAAAAACGAAACGAAACGAAGCAAAGCAGAGCAGAGCGAAGCTGAAGCTGAAGCAGCAGCACCAGCAGAAGCGAAGCGCATAGAAACTCAACACAAGCAGCAAATCATTTGGCTTGTTGTCGTCTGTTGTCGCCTCGCCTGCAGGATACGCGACGAGGACGTGGACAAAACAGAACAACGCTGGCCGTTGACCGAGTTGCATCGCAATCGCAGCGGTCTCTACCCTCAGCAGAAACACTAAAAAACAGTTATAGAACAAGTGCCAGAGTGTGCGTGAAAGAGAGAGAGATAGTAAGATAGAGAGAGAGAGTGAGTGAGAATCAACAGCAGACAGTGGAAACAGAAACCGAAATTGAAATCGGAAATCGGAGCGGCAGCTGTTGCATGCGGCCGCCGTGCCAGACTCAGTGACGCCGCCGCTCAGCGTCCGCGTGCCGCGTGTGCTGCGTGTCTTTGCGTGTTTTTGTTGCTTTTTTGTTTTGTGCTCACGCCGTTCGCCCGTTGATCCTCGCGAGTGACAGAGACACATACACTTCAAGGAAAAGTGCCATCGAGTGTGACACAGCAAGAGCAGAGTGAGAGCGAGAGAAAGAGTTTGAATTTGCATTTGGCTTGGCGAAGGACCCAGAGATGAGGCTGCGCATGAAGCTGCAGCTGTTGCTGCAACTGGCCGCGCTGGTCACCTGCTTGGCCCATGCCGCTGGCGGCGTCAGCATCAACGCCAATGATCCATGCTATTTTGAGGGCAAGCCACGCAAGTGTCTGCCGAGCTTTGTGAACGCCGCCTACGGCAATCCGGTGCAGGCATCCAGCGTCTGTGGCGCCCAGCAGCCGGAGCGCTTCTGCGAGCTGCAGCGCGATGGCAGCGCGGGCGAGTGTCGGGTGTGCGACAAGTCGGAGCATCGCTATGGCGCCGCCGCCCTCACAGACCTCAACAATCCGAGCAATGTCACCTGCTGGCGTTCGGGCAGCGTTAATGTGCCGCACGATCCGGACACAGCGCCGCCGGACAACGTCACCCTGACCCTGTCGCTGGGCAAGAAGTACGAGCTAACCTACATATCGCTTTCCTTCTGCCCCAAATCGCCGCGGCCCGATTCGTTGGCCATCTACAAGAGCTCCGACTTCGGCCAGACCTGGCAGCCGTTCCAATTCTACAGTTCGCAGTGCCAGAAGTTTTACGGGCGTGCGGATCGTGCCAAGATCAGCAAATTCAATGAGCAGGAGGCGCGCTGCATGAACTCGCAGCACGATGCCGCAAGTGGTGGCGCCGCCCAGCGTTTCGCTTTCAACACACTGGAGGGTCGTCCCTCGGCTAATGATCTGGATGCGTCGCTGGTGTTGCAAGATTGGGTAACGGCAACCGATATACGTGTCGTCTTCCATCGCCTGGAGCTGCCGCCCCAGCTGCTGCTCAGTCGCGAACGGGCCAAGGGCAATGCGAACAGCTTTAGCGACGAGATGACCGCCAGCCAGGAGGAGGAACTGGATGAACATGAGCTGGATGAGCAGGACGAGTACGATTACAATCTGCATGACAACGACAGCGCCGGCTACGATCAGGAGGAGTACGAAGAGCCCAAGAAGCACCTCGAGCTCGACGACGAACTGCATCTGGACTATGCCAACGATGGCGAAAGCAAGCGCCAGTCCAAGCACAAGAGCAGCGTCTACGAGAAGCACTTCCAGGGCAAACTGACTGTCAGCACTCCCATACCATTGCCGCCGGCATCGCCCAAATCCACGTCCTCAACCAAATCGCCAACATCCGCTCAGTTGGGCACATCGGATGCTGTCGCAGCCGCCGGAGCTGCTGGTGCCGCTGCCGCTGCCATGCAGCAGCTGCTCTCCGTGTCGCAGCATTACGCTGTCTCCGATTTCGCTGTGGGCGGTCGCTGCAAGTGCAATGGCCACGCCTCCGAGTGCATTGCCACCAGCACTGGTGGCAGCGCACTGCATGCCGACGCCGACGATGGCCAGGACGATGACAATATGCCCGCCTCGCTGCACAGCCACTTCGGACGCACTCCGTCCGCCCTACAGCTGAGCGCCAAGCTGGCCATGACCTGCGCCTGCAAGCACAACACAGCGGGACCCGAGTGCGAGCGCTGCAAGCCCTTCTACTTCGACCGGCCCTGGGGACGTGCCACCGACAACGATGCCAACGAATGCAAAAGTGAGTTAAGCAATCTATCCAAACGACATACAAACGCACCAACCTATGTACATACATACATATATCCATTCATATATACACATATACATAGACAACTATAAAACATTCCCCAATAGTTCCATAAAAAATACTTTTGCAACGTTATACTACTTGCCATAAAAGCATCCTTACTCTGGTATAAGCTATAAGCTATATGCTCTGTGCTCTTGCTATATATATTCTATATTCCCCAGTGCTGCAGAACATAAAACAGCGCATACCAACCGAACATATAATCTATTTATATACATACTATATACTACAATATTCATCTAAATCTAAAAAATAAGCTCAACAGCAGTAAGCCTTGAGTTGAATATTATTTAATGGAGATTTTGAATATAATTTTTAAAATATTCAAAATTAAATTAAAATTGTCAAAATTATATTGAAACATTAATGTCCTGAATTCTTCTATATAACCAAATTTACTATATTGATATTTAAGTTACATTTTTGACTTTATCAAGACTTACACTTGTGTAACTCTAAAAAAATACAGCCTTTACTTTTGGAAAAACAAAAATTTTGCTTACAAATTAGAAACAACAATCGAAACTTTGATATTTTTTTTGCTAATAGCTTACAAAGTAAAGCAGCTGTGTCTCTGTTCCTCGATATAGAAGATAAGATAAAGGCAAATATATAAAGTATAGGCAGCTAGGCCCTTTGGGGCGTGGCTAAAATTTTAAGGCAAAAAATTCGATATTGAAATTGTTTCTATTGCAGATTTTTGGCTCAAATCTATAAATCTAAATATCTTTCTTGCTTTACCTATGTCTACATATATATATATATATCTATATCTATATCTATATCTATATCTTTGAAACCATAAATTTTTGCATAAATTTAGCCGTCTTTGGAGTCAGAATGGAATTTAGCGCTTCAATCTTATTATAAATTATTTCTTGCGAATTATTTTAGAGATTTGAAATTTATTATTCGTAAACTCAAAGCTGAGCAATTGGGCTAAGCAAACAGGCGAATGCAAAGCTAAATTTGTATTGTTGTTGTTGTTGTTGTTGTTGTTCCAATCACTCGAGCAACTCATTTGAGCAGCTGCATTTGATGAAATATTTCATTTGTTATATTTGAAAAAATATTGCGAGTATAAAATGTGAGTAAGCTGCAAAGTGGGTCAAATGAATACAACATTTTTGTATTTATTTGGACGCATAACTAGCTAAAAATATGTTAAATATTTATACTCCTGTTTTTTTATAAATATATAAAAATTCAATTAAATGCAATTAGCTGGCATTTAGCTAGTTTTTTTTTGCAAATGTTTTATGGATGGCAGCACTTAAAAACAAATTAAGAGAAAAATAAATATTGATATGTGAAATTAAAATAAAAATAGAAAAAGTATTTACATATCAAAGGGATATGCAATAGTAAAAGTAATTAAAATCGCATAAAAATTAATCAAATTCACATTTTTCTCAACTAAGCGAAAAAAGTTTCAAAATTTATTTCATAAAAATGCAATTGAGTTTGTTTAAACAAAGTCAAAGGTACAACACACACGCAGACTTACACACGTTCGAGTTGGGAATTCTTTATAGCTGGCATTCACTGTCGCTTCGGTGGGACAGTCGTGTGCTCTGTTGGCCTCATCGAGTGCCGTTTTCAATTGCGTCCATTGTGCGGCTGGTGTCCACTCCTGCAGCGCAATGAACTCAATTCAATGCATGGCCATGGAGCATTCGATAGCCCAATGGCCATAGCCTTCGATTGCCAATGCCAGTGCCAGTGCCAGGGCTCGACGACGTCATCGACATTCTTCTCTTTGCATTTTTGGTGCTTAATTCAACACTTGGACGGCGCATTTGAATGCCTCGACGTGCGAGGCATGGCAGCCACTGCGGCCACTCCAGCTCCTCCTCCAACTACTCCGACTCCTTCAGCATTCGCTTCGTTTGCCAATCGAATCGATTCCAATCGAATCGAGGCAATGTGCAACGATCTGCCTCTGCTACGTTCGCATATTTGTTGTCAAAGTCAGCGGGTCATTTATGCCATCGTCATCATCATCATCATCATCATCATCATCAGCATTAACATTATCATTATCGTGATTTTGAGCAGCAGGCGAGCTGTGTCCACATTGGTGCAAACCAATTATTTGCGTTCTTCTTCTCGCTTTTGGCTCAGCATTGTTCGCACCTTGCGAGGGAGACTGACAGCGAGTGACACCCCCAATGCACGCCCCATACACCTTGTCCGTGGCTATTTGGCTGTCTGCCACTCGCCTCCACAGAGAGTCATAAATTACTAACGATTAACTTTTTGTGGGCCGCCGTCGTCGTCGACGTCGTCGCCATGCAGAATTAATCAAGGAAACAAATGCGCAGCGTGCGACGTCAAGTTAGGGCGACGTTCTCTGACATTACATTGCGGGTCAACCCCATAACGGCACACGCAGCCAAAGGTCAGCGTCGCAGTCTGTGCTAATTTATAGTCTTCTGTGCCGAAAAACCTGCTGGGCAATTGACATTGGCCCTGAGCCACAGATTCGAGCGACTCAGTATATCCGGTGCACAACTATATATATGCTTATCTTATCAATCTATATATACCTGTGCAAACCAGGCACAAGCAGGTGTAGCTGACTCCATGAGGCGTGTATACTCTTCAGCTGGAGCAATTGGCGCTTTATGAGCTAAAGACTTGCATCTCACTAAGTGGATGCTGCTCTTTATCACTCTCATCAAATTTGCTTCAAAGATCGATAACTTTTTCCGATTAATATCGTTTTCAACTGGTGTTACGACCAACCACATTGAATCTGAAGATTCTGCTTAAGCAAGTCGCAGCTCAACTTAGGTCAAATTTAGTCAGTCGTGCATACCCGACTAACCGTTCCTTGCACTCATATCAAATCTAGTTTCTGGCCCAAGTCAGTTGTATCTCCCAAAACTTATTTCCATTTAGTGCAATCCTCTTTCAGTCCTCATGATGGCAGGCCAATTATAAATTATCTCTGATTAGAAATCATTAATTAGCAAAGCAATTATTCAATCGAATGTGTTTTGTGCTGCGATTTCGGTGACTTGGCACAACAATTATCCATGCAAATGGATCGCAGTTGAGGCTCAATTTAACTGGAAGTCGCTAGCCGTAGCCGTTTGATTAGCATAGGAATCTAGCGACTCCCACTGCCCCTAAAAGGAGAACATAAAATTAATTTAATGCACAAGTCGCTGCGATTTGATTGCGAGATTAAAGGCTTTAATATGAATTTGCTTTCCTTTTTTCATAGCTTGCGCCTGGAGGGCAGCTCAGCAAAGTCCCACTCCCAACCCCATGCCCCTTCCTTCTCCTCCTCAGCTACACAGCAAGAAAGCCAAAAGAAATGACAAAAAAAAAACGGAAACAAACAAACTCGAAGCGCCGGCAAAGGCAAGTGATAAAAATATTTATGTCGAGCGAAGTTAACAGCGACGTCTGCCCTGTTTTGGTCCCGGCCATCCATTATTTGAAGTACCAGCACCCAGCGCCCCCCGCAGCCCCCCTCCACAGCTGACCAGCTGCCCGTGAAAGCTTTGGCAAGATTTACGCGAAGCGAAGCCGAGCAAATATTGAAAGAGGAATCGCTCTACGTTTGCTACCTGCAATCGTGCGGCTTATCTTCAGGCCTACCCCAAAAATACCCAAAAAAAAAAAAAAAAATCCCAAGCCTTAAACGAAACTTATAGCCACAGTCACAGCCACAGCCACAGCCAAAGTCCCGCACTGCGAGTGCCATGCGATGCGACCCGCTTCCGACTCATTGAGTCGCACATTAATATTTAGATTTGCTTTATTCGCCGGCAATTTGTTTCGATTTCGTTATGGAAACGCTGCACTGCCCTCGCACAGTGGCGCAAAATAGCTGCGAGTGTGCCAAAGAAATACTAGTGAATGATGACTTTTGATTAAATGAAAATCGATTTATACAAAATTCTATAGAATTTTATACAAAACGAGATAAGAAATTTGTATTCAGAGAATTTAAAGAGTTTTCTTCTATCAGCCAGCTTATGACATAGCTGTCACAGTCACAGTGTAGCAAAAGCACACAAATTTCCATTTCCCAATAAACTAGTTAGAGAGCTCTAAGCGGAAGTGCTCGACTAGCAAATACCCAGACCAATCGTGTGTATAGAAACCTTGCCACAATTATCTCCATTTACAGCTCGTTTCTTTAGGGATACCTGGGCAGGAAAAATAAAAGCTTGTATAATTAATATTTTTTTTATATTTTAAAGAAGTTTTAATAACAAATTTTATTGATTTAAACATTTTAGCATATTTGAAGAGCTAGTCAAATATGCTAAGATTTTTCAAGTATTTTGCATGTTTATCAATTTCTTGAATTTATAAAAGTGATGACTGATTCGATTGTTGTTTGGTTTATATGAAGGCTAACCTGATCTGGAATATATATTTATATATATATATATATATATATATATTTATATATATATATATATACTTTACTGTCCAGTAACATGGAAATGGGCTCGGGCTAGACAAATAATATTAATATAAATACATATTTATATAACTGTATCTATATATATATATATATATATATATATATATATATATATATATATATAGATATTCTAATTACCAAATATAATTAAAGGTAAATAGTTTCTTTTAAAGTCTGGCCGCTTTTATTTACCTGTACCTGGGCAGAGCTGACTCAAATTGCGGTCCAGCGCGGGCTAGAGATGGGCTGGAGATGGGCGTGGCGGGTCGTGGGTATGTCGCGATTGTACTTCTGGTCTCTGGGGCCGAGTGAAGCGCATCTAATGCGCGCCATCTGTTAAATTTTCAGTTTTCAGACTTTTTGGCAGCGGCTGCAATCGAAGTGGGAAATGCCCGAAATGGGAAATGTGAAAATGGAAGCGCCGAGCGCGGAGCGCGGAGCAAACATAGGCCAAAGGGCATTGTTTGTCGCCCCCATA